GGCCGCGAGAGCCGGGGGCCGAAGCCGAAACACAGCGCAAGGGTCGGGAGCACACAGCACAAGTCGGTTAGTCTTGTGTGCTCCCGACCCCGACGCAGATGGCATACATGTATGTATGTCCGTGTACGTATGTTTGTTTGTGTGTGTGTGTGTGTGTGTGTGCGCGAGGGAGGGAGGGAGGGAGGGAGGGGGGCCTTGTATCCTTTATGCCACCCACCCACCTCCAATCTTAGATAAGATATCTATCCCCGCCCACTACCCCCACACGTGGTGTGTATCTGGCACTATACCAAACACGACCAATACCCGGACCGCCCGTGCCGCCATTCGCCACTCGCCGCTCACTTTCACAGTCCCTTTTCCCGGGGGGGCCGGCGGGGGTTCCCCAAGGTGGCTTTCCTTTTTCTGTTTTCCGTTTTTAGTTTTTTCCAACGGCCTGTTGCCGCTACCTGCATGATCCAGGTTCGCTATGCACACACACACACACACACAGCGCACAGCTCTCCGTTTCCGCTTGTTGGTTTCACCCATTCCCCGTGCCAATTCCCCCACAGCGCGCTTTTGCTTTTCATTTTTATTTTGATTTTGATTTTCATTTCCCCCTTGCTCAACCCACATATTCACCCCACCCACCCACCCATCCATCCACACACACCTCTACAGGGAGACGTTGGGGAGTGTATGGGCCCGGCTGCGGGCCGCGGGCGGCGGCGCGGGGCAGGAGGAGGAGGCGGGCGAGGAGGAGGCGGGCGAGGAGGAGTACGACGAGGAGGACGAGGACGAGGGTGTTGCAGCGATGATGGCCCAGGCTGCTGACATGTAGATCCATCATTGCTGTAGAGACATTCGGCGCCCGACCACCTCTCTGCGTGTGAACATGTGTGTGTGTGTGTGTGTGTTTATGTGTGTGTTTATGTTTTGTTGGATGTGTATGTCTTTGCCGCTTAGGGAGTTGAGTCCCCGTTCCCTTCAACCCCTCCTCCTCATCATCATGCGGCTGTTGCTGCTGCTGTCGCGTTGTGGCTCTTGATCCCGTCCCCAGCGGGGCTGGTGGTGGGGGATGAATGAAGCCGCAGTAACGGCAGCAGCAGCAGGAGGGGGAGGGTGACGGGGGTCAAGGCATATGGTTCCCGCGGGAGGAAGGGGGCGGTTCGGTTTTATGAAGTACCCCGGGGGGTTGTAGGGTTCTAGTGTGTTGCGTTGCGTTTGAGTGGCCGCGTGGTGCTGGGCTGCAGCTCCCACGAGAGGGGCTGTGTAGGGGGCGCAGGAGTTTTGGTTTAGTGGGGTTTTTGTGGCGGTGTGTATGTGTGTGTGTGTGTGTTTCTATCTCTCCCTCTGCCTCTTGCTCTCGCCCGATATACACACATATACAGACATACACACACGCACGTCGTCACATTTCCGGCGACGTGCCAGAAATGTCCA